TTTCACTTGTGGTCTCGAAACACATCTCCCGTCATTATTTCATACCGATGCCGTGTTTGCCAGATCGGCTCCATCCGCTTTGTCCTCTCACCCGCATGCTGGTGCCGTTGCGTTGAAGCGGCCGTTCACGGCTCGGTGTGCCCACGCACCTGACCGCGTGTGTCGTGAAGAGGAATCACCAAAAACACAACAACAAAAAAAAGCGACTGGGAATGTGTTTAAATATCCCCCAGATGTGGCCACGGTTGGGTAACATTTTTGGATCACTTGTAACAGCCACTGCTTCGTGTCTTCGTATTGGGTGGAAAATTTCTGTCCCTCTCTAGCCAAGAAGGGCTAAGTTTTGCCCACCTCTACCATGGGTGGATCTCTTCTTTTGTTTTTGTAGTGAGTCCAGAGCAAAATGCGAGCTTTGAACAAAAAAGCAAATCCCAAACCAAAATAACGACACTGCAAGCAAAAGTCTCTGCTTTTTAATCTGCTGCTCAAGCAATATGGCCCCAGTTTGGAAGCCATCAAAGCACACAAAGAAAATTAGACAGGCAGGACCACGATGGGCAAAAGCAATGAGTTTTTCAAGAAGGCAGGAGAAAAAGCAAGGAGAGAGGCTGAAAAAGTCGTGGTCACGTGCTGAACGTCTGGCTGAATTTCTGGGAGGAGAGAGCAGCTTGTGCTGCCCTTGCCAGGCTCGGGCGGAGGGACAGTGCCGGGAAGGAGTGGACCTGACGCATAAGCTCCTTAGGCAACGTGAGGGTTTAATCTCTTCTGGAGGCTAATTGAGGGAAAGATCAGGGTGGATTAGAGCAGGGCAAATATCAAGAGTAACCCACCAGAGGTATGTGCTGCCCCAAGTGTGTTTCGGGAATAGGTGACCCTGGTTTTTACCCTGGCATTTTTGGAGCTTGACTCATGCCTCCTGAAGGGCACATCTGAAGACGAGATGGAAATGGAAGGGCAGCAAGAATGGAAACCTGGTGTGTCGGCAGGACGGTGTGCCCTCTGGCTTGCCTGTCTGAGTCCATGAATCACCTGGTGTGCTGTGGATTATTGCCAGGCAGGAATTTAAAAATAATTTGGCTTGGCCGAGGTCCTGCTGAGTGAAGCAGCTGGTTAGGTTCAGGGCCAGCAAGAAGAGGGAGATGCTGCAAGGAGACCTGTGACATGGGCTTTCGCCCCAGATGAGATGAGGACCAAAAGGGAGCTGAACGTGGGAGCCAGGGACCGGGATGGGACTGGCAGAAGAAGCAGAAGGGAGATTGCTAAAGGGGAGGTGAAATCCCACCCGTGAGA